TATATAATATTCTATTATATATATATATATATATATATATATATATATATATATATATATATATATATATATATATATATATATATATATATATATATATATATATATATATATATATATATATATAACCCTTTCACCAGACCTATATATATATATATATATATATATATATATATATATATATATATATATATACAGGGGTGGCCAAAAAAAAAAAGTCACTTTGCCTCATTGACTTTCGAGGCGCTATAAATTACACTTTATCAAAATTCTGATCGGACATTTTTACTACCATATTGAAGAGCACATTAAGTACTATCACGACACTCCGCCACAGCCTTCTGGACGAACGCCATCGAGAGATTCTGGCACGCGACCGCGATGTGGTACCTGAGATCAGCGAAGGTAGTCGATTTCTCCGCCACCGTAGACCACCCTCTTGAAGTCCGCCCGAGCTAGGTAATTGAGTGGGTTCAGGTCAGGGGACATACTTCAATATTACATCTTCTTCAGGTACGAAACGCCCTTCCATTCGAAGTAGGCGGGAGTTTTTCCAAAACCCTTTGATTCCATGTGGTGGCACCCAAACCTGTAGCAGCACAAGGTCTCCAAGAAGGTACGGGCGACCACATGTAGGGAGGATATTCTTCTCGAGTTACTTGATGTAACCGCCAGCGCTCACCTTCAGTCGGGGTCTACAAAGAAAATATCGGTCTTCCCCTTTCCAGGTACCCGGTCCATACCATCAACTCGCGCCTCGGCGAACACGGTGAAGATGATGTCCTAGACCGTAGCGAAGTTGAGGAAGCTGCTCGATGTGGGAGGTCTTGCAGATCAAGAGTACTGACCTCCAGGTAGCTATCTGTGGATGACTTCATTCAAGAAGTTTCGCAGCTGTTTGGAGGCGACGTGAATTCCAAAGGTGTTCTCCAGTCAGGCCGCGACTGGAGATGACTTCATATTTTGGCGTACATGAAGGCGATTGGCGGCAGCCTGCTCCAGCTTATAGAGGAAGATCTTGGGTATCTTCCACTCTGGTACTCATATCCACTTCCCCTGTCTGGGCTGCGAAAACTTCGTTGATATGTGACTTGGTCAAAGTGACTTTTTTTGGCCACCCCTGTATATATATATATATATATATATATATATATATATATATATATATATATATATATATATATATATATATATATATATATATATATATATATATATATATATATATATATATATATATATATATATATTATTATTTATTTCATTACAC